TGGTAGGGTTAATGCACTCACGATACTTCATGTATGCATGTATGACAGCAAAAAAATTTTTTGTGCAAGTCTAGAAAACAACACTGTATGTATTTTTTACAATAAATATCTGTCGGTTTTCCAGATATCGGACTGAGAAATGTTAACCCAAGCACCCCGTACAATGCCGACGAATTTTTTTCACGGTTTGTTTCGCCTGCCGTCCTTCCTATCCGCAGGATTAACAGGAAGCGACGAAAATAAAACATCCCCCTCGGTTTTCAGCTCATCACTCGGGATATCGAATAATAACTCTGGGGCTTCCGCCGTAATTCGATATACCGAGTACGCATCGCGGCTCTCCCGTCTGCTTTTCACTACTGATTAAGTCAATTAATATCGGCCGGCTATGGGAAATTCGTTCTCCGTCCGCCTCACAGGTAGAAAAATCGAAAATCGGGCGGTTGCAGAAACTAACCGCAGGTGGCGAGCCTGTATTGTGTCACAGACACAAAAGAACGAAGAAAAAAGCAATTTACTGACTAATAATGGTCCTGTATTAAATATAGTATAAGGAATTCAAGACATCTGGACTAAGACGTGCAAAAAAATAGAATAAGTTGCAACGCTTGTTAGAATTACGCCGCTTCGAGTACATGTTGAGGTTAAAATCAATAGAAGCCTTCAATTTAACTGACCCGCCCTGATCTACCTACTCTAAGTTGAAAAGGTAGAAAAATCACTAAAAGGGAAGTCCCTTCTATTATTATTTTTATTACTACACTACATTACTGAAAGTTTTACCAAGAGAATAGTTTCAAGGAGGCATTTCAGCCTATTCCGACCTTCACCTACCTGTCTTTGTGTTCCGCTGCCCGATCCCTCTGCCTCCTGTTCTTGAACCAGTTGGAGACCTGCGTCGTGGTGAGTCCCGTCGCTTCGGCAAGCTCCCTCTTCTCCCTCGGGCTGGGATAGGGGTTGTGCTTGTAACAGTCCCTCAGCACGCTCCTCGACTTCTCCTTGAAGCAGTAGCTCGTCTCCTCGCCGTCCCAGATGGTGCGGGGGAGGGGGAATTTTCGCCGGACGCGGTACTTGCCCACCGCGCCCAAAGGCCTTCCTGTAACAGTAAGTCAAAAATCAGCTAGTTTATATTTACACAGCGTTGAACTACTGTCGGTGAGACATAAGCGAGGACATCTAGCGGTTATTAAGGTACTATTTACCTCTCAATCTTTCAGCCTCTATGTAGTGAGCTTTCAGCCAGAGCGCCTGGAGCTTGGCGTGGTTGTGGGGACTGAAGGTGTGACTTTCTAGTAATTTGTACAGTTCCTTGAAGTTGCCCCTGTGGAACGCCACTATCGCCTTGGCTTTCAGCACTGACTCGTTGTTGTGCAACTTATCACAGGCCGGTAACGACCACAGGAATCTGCCCAGCCTCTCGACGTTGCCCGCCTGCTGAAGCACCTGGAAATAGAAGAGAGAAACAGTCAAGTGCTGTCGTAAGACCAAGGAATCGTTGATGCTTGATTGTTGTAAACTTATTAAAACTGAAGTGGAAAGCAGAGTAACGGTTTTTCTATTATTAAAGGTTAATTGCGCATATTTACGTTTGTTATAAAAAATAGTTGCTGTGACTTCAATAACATAAATTTATTTGTTTATTCATTCCTGCTCAAAGAAATAAAACCCAGTTATACTGCGTAATACATATTAAATTCGTCGTTTGTAATAAAAACTGACGAGTTATTACAAAGATATATTACGTATTCAATAATTTAGAAAATTTAGTAGACGTGAAACAGTATCGATTAAAATTTAGCGTCTATACGTATAAGAGAAATAGTGGATATATATCTCTCCTAGTAAGAGATAGGAAATAGGAAATGGTTAAAAAGTTTTTAACAGATCTGTTGCTAACTTAATGGCATTGAAGATCGGCCCTAGCTCTTCAGGGTTTTGAGTTATATATTTTGAAAAAAGTAAATGTGGCGTTTTCGGAAACCGTCTGCAATTGTTTTATTTAGAGGAATTTTTAAAACAATTTTTCACAGCAAGTTTCTTGTAGTATGCTTACATATTCATTGCGATGTTTCGGTTGCGAGAAACCATCATTAACTTTCTTTTTTCTGATGGGGACCATATTGAATTTTAAGCTGAGCAAATCGAACATTTTTGGCTTTCCAATAATATAAGTAAGAAAAAATTTCAAAAACAACTTCAAAAATAAATATTTTAATATTTTTAATAAACCTGGCAACACCGCATAATTTTTCGAAAGTAATATGCAATTGTTTCAAATTTTTGTAAAAGCTTATCATTAACGTTATGACGTCGAGTGAAAAAACGATAGTAGTTAAATGGTTACGTGTTTACAAAACAAAGCCCCATCAGTACTCTATGAATCTCCATGACGATAATAATATTTTCATTTGTTTCAAACTGCTTGTCCCTTTGAACTATTGTTAATCATAGAGTTAATTGTTAACAGTTAGAGTGACACTTGTTTTAAAATAGTCAAAATGATTTTCCGTTATTCCAGGAGAAATATTATTATTGCCCCAGCTATTACTATCTCTTACATAGTTTTTAGCATGTATCTTTTCAAAACTTCCAAACATTTTCGAATTTGTAATAAATTTAGAAAAATACTTTTCATTTGGTGGTTGTCTTTCGGGATAATTTCCAATATAATTGTTTAAAGCTACAGTTGCTTTTCCATAATTTTTAATAAAACACTCCAACATATCACATTTTTTTTTCTATGGAATAACGCAAAGCTCAAGGCCATGACACTAATAATAAGCATTTACAAAAATTTGACAATATTTTATAATATTCTATAATAATTTCGAAAAAATATGCGGTGTTGCCAGATTTATTAAAAATATTAAAATATTGCTTTTTAAGGTTACGTTTGAAATATTTTTTTACATATATTGCATCATTGAAAAGCCAAAAAATGTTCTATTTAGTCAGCTTAAAATTCAATATGGCGCCCATAAGAAAAACGAAAGTTAATGATAGTTTTTCGCAGCTGAAACGTCGCAATGAAAATCTAAATATACACTGAAATTCATCGAAAAAACTTGCTGTGAAAAAGTGTTTTCAGATTTAAAAAATTCCTCCAAATAAAAATGCTGCAGACTATTTTCGAAAACGCCACATTTGTATTTTTTTCAAATTGACTCAAAAACCTTAATAGCTACGACCGTTTTGCAATCGCCATTAAGTTAGCAGCAGAACTGTCTAAAACTTTCCCTACCTCTTATAGTTTCGAAGATCCCAATACATGCATCACCAAAATGGTCCACACTGTATATTGAATTTTTAATTGATTTGCAATTTAGAATTATGAACGCTATTGAGACGATTTTCAAAATGTTAACACCTTAAAATTAAACGCAGAATTGCATAAACATCCATATTTGTACCAGAAGTTGTACCAGGTGACTACATAAGAAAGAACATTGGAAATATGAAACAAATTATTGTTAACTCAGAGTAACTACTGTGTTAATGATGCTAAAAACAAAATGGCTAGTATTTCACTTTGAACAGGGTGTCCCAATAATTCGTGGGCATGGTGCTATCAGTTTCCTGCAATCAAAATAAGCAGATTTAGCTAAGCTTGATTCGAGAAAATTGACAAAAAAAAGTTCTTTTCAAGTAATACTGCTACAAATAATGCTACTACAAATACAAAAATGTTAAGACAAAAGAAGTAGAAGCTACAGCTTTTGTCATCTTTGACATCCCCTAGCGGCTAAACGAAGCAACTTTATACAGAGGTAAGTTTAGTTAAATCTGCTTATTTTGATCACAAGAAACTGGTAGCTCTATGTACTCAGAATATTGAGACACCCCGTGTAAGTAAAGAGAATTCTACGTTCCAACGCAGATTCTTCAGTGTAGGCCACACTGCTACATAAAATTTTTCCTTGAAAAAAATCAATGCAGAATCAGCAAGGCGCATTCCTAATGGCTAGCACCCACGCAGAAGCATGTGCTTGGGTGCTATTCATCACTCAGCAGTCTCCAGTTACAATTATTGTGGACTCGGTACTGTACCGACGGGTTGTAGGTGTACAACGCTGACCGACGTTTCTTTCTGTCTTATCAACTGCTGAAGTCGGGTCTTATCAACGTCAGATTGAAGGATAATACGTGCTGGTTTGTATTTAAGGCTTGCGCCCGAGACAGAGGTCGTTGGTAGGTCTGGTTTAAGATTTGCTTCTTCTTGGTCTAGCGGGAAAAGGTTACCGAAAACGCAACGTTTCTAATGCTCCAGCAAAATTAGTTCTTAGGTCGAGATCACTTATAAACGCACTCCCACATTGACAGAGTCTTATAAAATTTCCTCCTCGTTACAACGCAAAAAAGTCTTACCTACACAACATTTCCAAAACCATTCCGATCGGACTACACCTGCGCCCAGCGGTCGCTACCGAGGTTTTGTATTTTCTTAACATCTAGCGTTACACTACAGTTTCTTTGAACATTTTCACTGTTAAAAAGCGAGTAAATACTCTCTTCAAAACATCGGCGAATTGCCTTCTATTCGAAAACATTCTACAAAGTTTATTTTAATCAACGCAGAAGGCCGTAAAAGTAAAGCAATAATACTTCGCCTTCGTTAATTACGTATGGATTTGTTTTGGGACGTCAAGTTCAGTTGTGGGAAGAGACGGATTCTGGTTGCAATAAATAAATATGTCAAAGAACTGAGAGCACTTGTCAAAATATAATAAAAGCGGTGATCATTTTAATGGCTGCATTTATATCTCGATTTTCACGCCACTTTGTGTTGTTTTAAGATGCCTGTAGAGCTATTAACAACAGGAACGACACGAGCAATGAGTATTTAAAAATAGAACGGAATCTTTCCTGCCATCGCCGAGCATTTTGGGCTGTGAATAACGCTCATAGAATGGAACTAAGATTGATTTTAGTGTTTGGCCGGTTTATTTCAGTTTATTTATAGTTAAATATACAAGGAGTGTTCGAAAAAGTTAAAATTTCAGGGGAAATCGTGATATTTGTTATGCACAGGGTGTTTCTTGATCTCAGGCCAAGCACAGAATTAAATATACAAGGTGTGGCGTGTATAATCTATAAAAATTAAACTACAGCTTCCTGATGATATTTGTAATAGAAAAGTCTTATACGAAAAAGTTCTATATTCGCTTTTTTTTTGTAAATTATGGTTTATTTATTTAACGAAAATGAACGCCGACCCTGTGTTATTTATTAAAAACTTTGGAAATGTTTTTATGCGACCCGAGATGCAACCTTGTAATTTAAGTCGATATAATCTAATACTAGTAATACTAAAAGAAGGTTAGGTTACACTGTCAAAAAATTTGTGCAGTCAACTGATTTTGTACTTGTACTGAATTCATTATTCACTTAATTATTAAATATTAAGCATGGTCCATCGACCCATCAGTGTTACAAAGTGAAAGATTCCAGATAAAAGTTTTTATTTTGTAATTCTACGATAGTGTAATTTTTATAAAGAAATAAAAAATAAGAATAGCGTGCCGATTACATTAAAAACGAGATTCTTATTTCTTATTTTGCTTAATTTTTTTGTTTGTGCACAACCCAGTTTTGCAATGAACCGAGAAAACAATGCGTTTACTATTTCCGAACGTGTCGATATGGTGTTAGTGTATGGTGCAGCCGGAGAAAATGCACTCCCGGTGACTAGGTTATATCAGGACCGATGGTCACAACGTCACCCCCCCATATGCAAATACAATCCTACAGTGCGTTCAGCGGCTGCGAGATACGGGAAGTGTTATTCCTCGAGGAGAAGGGCGTGATCAGCAAGTGAACCTTAATGTTGAAGATGCAGTGTTGGAAAATCTTGACGAAGACCCCACAATTAGTACTCGACGACTCGCACCGCAAGTAGGAACCTCATCTCGTACCGTACATCGCATCTTAAGGCGCCAATTGTTGCACCCCTATCATCTGCAACCAGTTCAACAGATTTTACCTCCGGATTGTGATCAACGAATGCGTTTTTGCAGATGGTTTTTACGGCAATGTGCCAATCAAGTAGACTTTTCTGCTTATGTTTGTGTAACAGAGAGGCGACATTTACCCGTGATGAAGTGAATTTCCATAATATGCACACTCATTTTCAACATCGGTTCTCGGTAAATGTTTGGGCTGGCATAATAGGCGATGTACTTGTGGGTCCCTATTTCTTTGAAGGACGACTAAATGGACCAACATAAGCTGACTTTTTGGAGAACTGTTTGCCTGAATTATTGGACGATGTGGCATTGCAAGTTCGGGCACGTATGTTTTATCTTCAAGATGGGGCTCCTCCACACAGTACGCGAGAAGTAGCGACACTTTTGAATGAAATGTTTCCTCAGCGATGGATTGGACGTTTTGGTCCTGTGCCGTGGCCACCTCGGTCACCCGATCTAACTCCAATGGACTTCTATCTTTGGAGTCACTTGAAGTCGTTGGTTTACAATACTTTAATTGCTACGGTGGAAGAATTGCGAAATCGTATACCTACTTGAAGCTGCTGACACAATTAGGGGAATTCCTGGAATTTGGGAAAATATTCACCAAAATTGGGTGCGTCGGTGCCATGCCTGTATCCGCGCTAATGGAGATCAATTTCAACATTTTCTCTACAAATAGTAAGTTTTATTTCATTTTGCCCATATTTTAATGGAGATTGTTTAGTGCACGCAGTTGGTAACTACAGATGCTTACGGATGTGGTTGTGTTTTCGAACTCTTGCAGTAACAACAATGCATTTAAAGATAGTAATTATAATTAATTATTATAATAAGAAAATATCAGTTTTTTTTAAATATGTTCTTAGTTTGTACTTTTGCATCGAAAAATTCCCCAAAAATTGAGATGTATCTTTCTATCTTTCAACGACGATTTATTTACGCGGCTGGTCTACAGCACGTAACTCATCGTACAGCACACGGACAGGACCGTTCCATAGAAAATATTTTGATCCATAATTGAACTTTAATTTACGAAAAAAAAAAACCAAAAATAGAACTTTTCTATTACAAATATCGTTAGGAAGCTGTAATTTTTATAGATTATACACGCCACACCTTGTATACAAATTTCTTTTACGCTATGTATTTGTAGCGGCATTGGGGCATACGATATTACTGACAGTGACCTTATAAAAGTAATAGGGGACCTTCATTGTGTTTATTTGAGTCCTTAGGACCACCCTACGACGCCATTAAAGGGTTTTTGTCTGGGTACCGTCTTCAAACTCGCGACATCCGTTTCGGAACCCCTATCTAGCTTCCTCTGCTCGTTGTTTGAAGGAAAGATGGCTGAATCGAGACAAATGACCACGGTACAGGGTGATATTTTCATAGGAGAAACGTTTTTCTTTGTAAGAAGTTTTCCTAACACAAAGAAATGATTCTCCTAAGTTAATTACCTATTAATCAAACTTAACTATAGTACGATCATATTCGATGCAAAGTAATAAATCATTGCCTATCAAGGGAACCAATGAAGTACGCCTTTAAGGGTTTTACAAATTGAATAATTTCTTTATACATTATGAAGGGACGAAGGGATCAATTCAGGTCTGGCACCCTTGTTGCTACAAAAATTCCTTTATTCTCATAAACTATTTATTTTAAATGTAATTTATTATAAATCCAATTTGTTTCCTAAATTCCACATATGTACTACATTTTACCTCTGTACGCGCCACTGTTGTTTACTTGTTTTTTGGAAGCGCTCTCTAATTGACGGCAAAGCTCGCCAGGTTAGTATTTGACGTATAACCGACCAGTTCGTACACTCGATGCACCTGGGCGACTACAGCTACTACCAGAACACAGTGCGTATGCAGCGGTATTTCAGATTTTACATTGAATTTCATTTTAAATTTGAAATGATTTATCTTACGCCTCCTAAAAATGATGACACGATTTTCCTTTGATAAAAGGCCGACAATTTTTTGCTCTACTTTGCATCGTATACGATCCTACTATATTTCTCAAAATGCCAAATTTTAACTCAAACATTTTTTGTTACTGGCAGTAATAGTTAAGACCATCTGGAAACACATTAAATGTTGGAAAATGATTGGTTTTATGCGTTTCTCAACTAGCATAGTGTATTACCATTGTGTTCTAAAGATAAAATCATCTACTATCTTTACATGATTACATTTTTACATGCCCAATTTTGTCTGTCAATACAGTACGTCATCATTGCCCCTTCTTTAATATCATTTTGAGAAATTCCAACGAAATAAAAATGACAAAATACAAAAATCTGTTCTTTTTATTTATTTCCGCTATTTTAAAAGGGCTCTTTCGCAAAATTCAGGGAAGGCAAGTCCTACACCGCTTGTAGGTACACCTTTCTAATTTTTCTCTTCGTGATATTATTTATCGAATCACCCTGTAGGGTCGTCACCACACAACGACCGCTTTTATAACAGTAATAATGAGAAAACGGCCAGGCAGAATGTTATGTCTCGCAACTAGTACTATAACCAATAAATCAAATACGAACGCCACAATAATACCACCCGTTATATAAATATTAAACAAATTTCCGAGTTTATTGGTGTTATTATCACGTACTTGCTGCGCTTCGGATTCCTTCTCGCACTTCCCGGAATCCAGCCTGCTACGATTTACTTTTGGTCCTCGTATATTTAATTTGTAGTTCATATGTATTCATATAACACTGATGGAGTTTCGAATTACTTTTGTATTTTTTCATTGATACACTAACGAAGCGGACCTGAATGGGTTTAGCTTATATGGTTAAGATACAGGGTGTATACAATAAGAGATATGTTTGTTTTGCGATACCTGAAACAAAATTGTTTTGCGAGTTTCAGAAGGTTTAGCTAAAAGAACATAATATAAAAAGGGATTTAGTTGAAACAGCGAATATGTTAAATTTTGATAGATACAGGCATGGGCGTAGGCAGGAATTTTCCTAGGGGCTGGACGAGAGCTAGTTTATAGAAAAAAGGGTATGGTATGTGAAATTATGGTTTCAGAAATACCAATTATAGGTACATGGTAAAACTGAGGAATTTAGAGCAAAAGCCTTCTTATCCAACGGCCTAAAGTGATTCAATCTCACTGATTTATACTGTTTTAGGAAGTAGTAACCAATAGTCCAGGGAAACAAGGGTTTCCATTCCGAATTTTTTCGGATAGAATCGATTGAAGTGAATGTTGGACTGTAAGTAGAAAGTAGCTCATGATTTCATGAAACAAAAGTTATACAGGGTGATTCACAACTTATCCAAAAAAATTTTTTGTAAAATCCTTATAGTTTCCGAGAAAAAAAATATTGAAGTTATAGTACATTCAACCACTACATAGCTGGACAACTGTAGTCTCTAGCGTCATTCGCCACGTGGCCTCAGCGACTCCGAATACTGAATTCGGATTTTGCAATCGTCGTTGCGATATTTACCTGTTATCTGTGGTGTTTACAATAGGTTTTTAGTAGTTAGTGTCAAAAATGGGTAGTTAGTGTCAAAAATGGTTTGCGTGTACTCGGAGTTGATGGATATCGTTTTAATTTATGGTGAAGCATTTGTGTTATGGTGAAACAAGACAACATTTGTGTTAGTTCGTAGAAACTGAGTACAACGGACCCAAATGTGTTTACACATTGGTGGATAAAATTTTGAACAATTGTTGTAACATCGGGTATGTCAAATGATTTTATTATTTAAAAACACAAATTAATTTTATTAATTAATAAAGGCAAAAGCAGTTGAATTTGCCGATATAAAATAGGTGCGATAAAATTCTATTTACATATTTCTTTCCTTGCGAAAGTTTTTGTCCGTTTTTATCACACCGCCATGCCGGTCGCATTGTGCGAGGTCAGGTTTTACAGTGGACCAGTTTCCAGTGCCGTGCAGAAGTGTGTTTTTAAATCATTTTCGAACTGTCCTTTTTGATTTTTTCTTTACAAAATTGTATTTGTAAGGGTTTCCTGTAAATTTTTTTTTTGATAAGTTCTGAATCACCTTGTATAGTGCCGATGACCGCTTTTGTCCAGGGAGGTGGAAGGTCTAGGGGGTGAAAAATAAAATATTGAAAATCAGGAATCGATAAAACAATCAATTTTAAGTAAAGGGTATCTCATGAACATTTTGCAATAAGTGTCAATATTTTCTGAGTTATTGGCGATTGAAAAATGAAAATGTATATTTTTAATTAAAAAAATACGTTTTTAAGTAGTTTTTCTCGAATAACTCGGATAATGGACATTCTATGAAAAGAAAACATCACGAAGAAAATGAAGCCTACAGAAAAAGAAAAAGATTGAGTTTTTTTTCCATTTACGTAGGTGCAATAGGTGTTGAGAAACAGCTGGTTGAGGGTAATTTTATGTCCGCCAGAAACTACAATTGGAAGCTTTTAACTTGAAATAACTAAAAAAATTCTATTCTTCAAGAAAAATGCACAGAACATTTTTTAAAGTACGTATTTTAAAAAATCTTTAAACTGAACTTGACTTTGTCATTAGCATAAAAATTAACAGTTATGATCAAGATAAAACTGTTAATTCGCTTTTTCAGAAAAAAAATCAGTACAAACGCTGATGAATTTTTCACGAGATTTAAAATGAAAGGTAATCCTTCTACAATTTACATTTTTTTGTGCATATTTCTGAAAATACGTTTAATTACGTTTTGATTCAAAAATTTTTTTTATTTCAAAAAGAAATAACACATTTTTGAAAATAACTTTAACAATAAAAAAGATACGAAAAATATTTAATAGTACCAAAGTTTAGATTTTTTTTACAGAATATTTTGGTTTCTTTTTTATTTGTGTAGGATAAAAATTAACAGAGATACCGCTGCTAGAAGTTGGCAGTTGAGGGCGAAGGTCATGTTTTTCGAACCCTTTAACCTAAAAAATCTTTAACCTAAGAAACCCAGTAATCTGATAACACTATAAGAAAGGCATTACAATTAATTTTAAATAATTTAAAAGCCATTTTTTTTATTTTGTCATCGGGGTGGTTTTTAAGGGTTAAAACAATGCGATAAATTATTATAAAAGAATTTAATTTATCCTTGATAGTACAATATCAATGATTTGATAGTACAAATAGTTAAAAACTAAATTTTTTAAATATTTTATTATGGGTAGTTTATTATGGGTTGAAATATTGTATTAAATTATTTATAATACCATAAACTATTAAAAACATTTCTATCTATAATTGTAAAGAATTGGGGCAAGTTGTTAATCAAATGAGTATGAGTGTACATTAGACAACCAATAGGAGGGCAGGAGGTAATTGAAAGTGAAAAAGAAAATACATAAAATAAATGGAATTTAGCATATGACAAATACAAATTTTCATAAAAAAAGGATTTCAAACAAAAATTTAAATAAATGTAATGTAATGAAGTATATTCAAAACTGAAAATTGTGATTGGTAAAAATAAATTGTATTACTAGTTTTAAATTTAGTTGGACATGAAAGAAAACGTGTTGGGTTACTAGGAGAAAATAATAATAAAAATGGATATGACAGCTACAATTTTTGAAGAGTTAATAAAATAAGGTAAGAAAAGTTCACATCTCACAAGATTATTACAATATGCTATATAAAAATATTTTAAGGTCAAGGAAACTATTAATTTTATATTTTTATCATTAACACGTTGACTGCGGTACATACCTCGGGGGGTATGTACTCATTATAAAAAATATGCGAATCTCAATAATCACATTTTTATGTATCTGTGGAAGTTGCAGAATCTGTAGTTTTTAGAAATAATGATTTTTCTATTATTTTCTTTTCAAAACTCTTTGCGAATGAAAACGTTAGTATCCTAGGATATATAGTTACAGATACACGCAAGTTTATAGCAATAATTGTGTTATTTTTAATTTTATAGGGTCAAATGTAAAAAAAATTACATATCCCCAGGGATATGTACCGCACACAGAAGAAGTTTTGTTACATATCCCCGAAGATATGTATCGCAGTCACGGACAAAGT